GGTGTTGGGGCCTTGACGTTGTGAATATCCTGGTGGCTTGACACTCCTTTATTTTTCGTAGAGATTAACCTAACATTTTTAATCTGGAAATGGTTTTAAATTGTAGAAAAACCAGTTTTATTATTATTATTATTATTATTATTATTATTATTATTATTATTATTTGTGTATGTTATGTTTCATGTTTTGTATCCTGTAGAACCGGGTCCAAATAGGACAATTGTTATTTAATTTATAACACTTTTCTTGGTATAATGGGATGTTCCGAGTAGGGCGATCTTCTGGTCAACTTTTGTGTTGAAGTTGCCTGGCTGGGAAATTGTTGGTACAGTCTCAGTCTTCATTCTTCACATCTTGTTAATCTCGATCTCTAGGTCCTGATATTTGGAAATTTTCTCGATAATTTGCATCAAGATGTTTCTCTCAGATGGTACTGATGATCAATAAGTATACACTTCCTGAATTTTCTTGTCTTTTATGATAATATCAGGTCTGTTGGCTTTTATTTCCCGGTTATTTTGAATTGGCATGTCCCAGAGGATATTTACACCATTATTTTGGGTAACTGTGTCTGCTTACTCATACCATCTCACGGTAATCTTGATTTTTGTGTTTCTTGCATATCCAGTACACATATCTCGCTAGCATCGATCGCACTTCTTTTTCTTCATAATTAAATATTGTATTCCATCTCCTTCATTAATTCCTAAGTATTTGTATGTACCATGTTGATTAAGTTTCTTAATCTTGTTGTTGATATCAAAGTCTAAATCTATATTTTTCATTAGTTTACAAACCTTTGAAGGTGGTTTTGGCCCATTTGTCGATTCTGAACTCTATCCTAATGTCTTCACTGAAGGGTTTGACAGTGGTGAGTATGATTTTTCTGCTGGTTGTACTCCTTGGCAAACGTTTTAAGATAATCAATGCAGAATATATCATTCAGTTTGCCATTCTCTAACTTGATGTTGATCGGTCTCTATGTTAGTAACCCGTTTGTATGGTTTAGATTTTGCGTAGTCTTCTAATTTTTCATGCTCTCCGTTATGAATTTGACCGTTGTGGGACAAACTCTGTATATTTCTAGGCTCTTCTTTATCCATGAGTGTGGTCCACTGTTGAGCGCCTTTCTGAATCGATCCATGCTATCGATAAATTGCTTTTTTCGGTTTTCATCTCTTCCAATATCGTTTTATTGATATTTGGTCCTTGCCCCCGTAACTTCCTCTTTTACATCTCTTCTGTTGTTCTTGGAGTAAATTGTTTTTTCTCAAGGAAGTTGTATGTCATCATGATACAAGTGAGGATACTGTACATTGCTGGTAGGCAGGTGAGGGGCCTATAGTTCTTCGGGTTCTGCATCTCTTCTGCTTTGGAGAGTAGGTATGTTACCATTTGGGGCATTTTTCTGGGTTTATGATTATATCATTGTATGCCTGTGCGAGGTCTTGGTGGGCGATAGATTCGTTTTTTATTCAAAAGTTGGCTATTCAATCTATTCCTAGTGCTTGCCAGTTTTTGAAGATGACAACATTTATTTCAGTAATATTGATATTATTTTGCCTTTTGCAGTTTTTCCCAAATCTTACACCAGAATTCCTCGATTTCATGGATATTAATGGATGATTTCGTCTTTTAGAATATCTTTATGAAAATATTTTTTTATTTCTTTTACATCTCTTACTCCCTACTCATTTATTTTTTATGAAATTTCGAGAAATTCTTTTTTGTATCATGTTTTTATTTGTTATAAGGACAAGTCCTTGGAGAACTTAAATCTTCAATTTTTTGTGGGGTGGGTGGTGAAGGTCAAAGAGGACACCCAATTGTTGAAAATCTGCCATGAATCGTAAAATGAAAAATTTTATAAAACTAAGATATTCTTTAATTAGAAAAACTTAATTATTTTATGGATTAAATATATTTATTTATTTATTTATAAACTTTAAAATCTTTTAAAATCCTGTATTAATTCGGAGTGGTCACGTGATAATGTTATTAAATTAAAGTTGTATTTACTAATCATAAAAGGAAAAGTTATTTTAGGAAAATTAAAAAAATTAAAGTATACTTAATGTAATTTGAAAGAAACATTACTTACTTAGCAAAAATATTTTAAGAGAGACATTTCCAACAGTGGTGATTGGTTTTGAGAGGTGTGAATTGACGTACATTAATGTATCAACAACTTACGAGAGGGGAATTTATCGGTTGGTAGGACAGAAGTGACAAAATTTGTGCTAATTTTAAGTGAACCTGGTTAGTAGAGTTAAATTTAAAAAATACACTTTCAAATTTTTTTTACCTTATGTTTGAGGGAGAATTCTAGAATAAAAACATTTAAAATACGAAAAAAATACATTTAGAGTTCAAATTTTATAACAGACAAAAAAGAGCAACATAATTGTTAAGTACACCTATCATAAAATTTTATGGTATTGTTTTTTTTAAATTATGTTTTATATTGTCTCAGTTATGAAATTATTTCCTAACTGAGACAATATAAAAATGAAATAAAATACCATTACACTTCATAAATGAAACAGGTAACTCATTTATGAAATGAGATTTTATTTCTTTAAGAAAAAATTTAAAAATGCGACGTTAATGGTCACTCACACGTGACATTTTTTTCAGAAATGTGCTTCCATAGTTTTGTAAAAATAGGCCCTTTTAATAAGAGCATTTCCAGAGTCATTCAGTTTGAAACTTAAAACATTTATCAAGTTTTTCACATTTTTCATTTAAAATTGAAAGAAAAGAAAACAATTCTTGTAAAAATTCATTTTTCATCGAAAAAAATTGAGCTACAAACAAAAACGCCCTGAATATATATTATTCATAAAACCTATTAAAAGCTTTTTCAATTAAATAATGTCTTAGTTTTATTGAGTTTTGTATTTTACAATTCAGGGCTAAATTTTGAGTATTTTCATATAACTCTTTACAAAAAAATCAATGATTTATATTCTTCAAGCTCTTCTGCATTTAATTGAAAAAATTACAAAGACATTCAGTTTCGAATTTTCAAATTTTTATAAAATTAAGTAAGTGGGTAACGGATGTAAAAAAAAAAAAAAATTACCATGACTTTCTAAAGAACAAACATTTCTAAAATAAATTCATTCACTTTTTTGAATAAGTTCTGAAAGTTTCATTACAATCCGACAATTATTTGATTTTTGCAAGGATTTCCACATTAATGTGTTTTCAAGGTGCTAAAAACTAATGCAACGTCAACCACTGACTTTTAAAAAAAAAGAAAAAAAACAAAGATTTTCAACCAAAATTTCAAACGTGCTAAAAGAAATTAAAAAAATTTTTTTAAATAGTTTGGTCTCTCCTTTTACTAATAACAAACTTTTTCGCGAAAAATAAAAACAAAGTTTGAGGCCTTTTTCATCAGGATATGCGACTTTTTTTTAGTAAAAAAGTGGACATTCCTAGCTCTGTCCCTCTTACTTAAATTTCCCAAATATAAGGCAGTCACCGTATTAAAAAATGCTTTTCTGCGATATTTTAAATTAAAAGTAATATTTGTTTCTATTTGGATATACTAAATTTTAATAAGCTATTTTTCCTCAAATAATGTTTCAGAAAAGTATTTTTAAGTATTTTTAATAAAGAGAATTATTTTGTGATGACAGATTTCATTTGTCAATATGGACGAATTTATAGATTTTAAAAAAGAAAGAAAAAAACATTCCAATCAATTTAAATTTGGTTTGAAATACATGAATGTATTTTGCTTATTGGGAAAATTAAATTTAATCTATTAGCGTGGAATTAAAACTAAAATTAAAGCTTCAAGAAAGTTTTTTTTTAATGTATTTTAAACTTAGATATCGCTTCTTTTAAGGTACCTATAATCAAATTTTGAACATAAACATTCTCTCCCTTGCAGAAAATAAAGGAAACACTATTTCTGCATTTGGCTTTTCATGCTGGTTCATAAAATAAAAATTTGAAGAACCACTGTCAAAATAACTAATTTCTACAGACTGATTTCAACTTCTTGTTCATGTATATCATTCACTAAAAACTGTAATGCATTGCTATAAAAACTGAGTAATTTAAAATAAAAGACTACAATAGTAATTGTTCTCACAAGTTAATTAATTCGAGCAGTTTAAAGGAGTTGCCTCCCCTGAGATCTAAACTGACTGAAAGTTGTGTAAAGTTCCATTGTGGTGTAGTGGGAGAGTATATCATTTTGAAGGAGTAAAAGAGGACTTCATTATCATAAATAATGCACTCTACGCGCACATATGTGCATATGCATGTACATGAGCGGGGGGGAGGTCTGTGTTGTTACTTTGTTTGCGTATGAGTGTATGACCGCGTCTAGATATGCCTAATGCCTGCCTTTAGTTTTATTTTTTATTTTTTTTACATCAAGATAATTCTTCACTGGTATTGACAATAAATAATATTTCTTTAGTTCAATATATTTGATTTGCACGTGTGAGTTTGTCAGCAGACGTACATTATTTTCTTAAATGGATTTATTTTGCTTTCTTCGGAAACAAACAAAGTGGGAAGAGACTGAAGCAATAGTTAATTAACTCTTTGTGCGCATGCATGGAGCTAAGGTTTAGACGAGGAAAGCAATAACTTTACCAAAAAATTAAAACTGTGTTCCATAAATTTTAAACGTTTAAAAAACAGGAGAAAGAACAATTATATCTACAACATTGCGGCAAGATATTATTGAGAAGATACAGGAATGAAAAAAATGAACAAAAAGATTGTAAAGAATGAAAGAGTAATAATATTTTAAGAAAGGACATTAATATTGCAGAAGTAGATTTTTTTAAATTCCTGAAATTGAAGAAAGAAAGAAAGAAAGAAAGAAAGAAAGAAAGAAAGAAATATTAATTTAATAAAGAACATTAATAATGTAACATTAGTATCTTTTTTAAATTCGGAAATCGAAAAAAAAAAGAAGAAAATTATTTTTTGAAAATTCAGAAATCAAATACGAAAGAAATAACGAATTTTTAAATTCGGAAATCGAAAAAAAAGAAAGAAATTAGTTTTGGAAAAAATTCTGAAATCGAATAAAAAGAAAGAAAGAAAGAAAGAAAGAAAGAAAGAAAGAAAGAATTTTTAAGTTCGAAAATCGAAAAAAGAAAGAAAGAAATTGGTTTTGGAAAATTAAAAATAAAATTTCTGAAATCGAATAAGAAAGAAAGAAAGAAAGAAAGAAAGAAAGAAAGAAAGAAAGAAAGAAAGAAAGAAAAAATTTTTAAGTTCGAAAATCGAAAAAAGAAAGAAAAAAATGGGTTTTGGAAAATTAAAAATAAAATTTCTGAAATCGAATGAGAAAGAAAGAAAGAAAGAAAGAAAGAAAGAAAGAAAGAAAGAAAGAAAGAAAGAAAGAAAGAAATGACGACTTCTTTACGAGTTTAGGGAGAATGAATCTATGAGAGAAAGACGGAGGAGACGCTTATTAAAAAAAAAAAAAAGAGTAGGAGGTACACTAAGCATAAGAGTGGGAGCAGTGTGATTCTTTACTACGTTTTTTACTACTACGGCGGACATCATACATACATCGTCCTCCTCATAAAACGAGATTTTTGAGAATTTACCATTACAAGTTGTGGGTCGGATATCGCCACAAGCGAAAATGACGCCGGACAGCAACGTAAATGGTGAGTTTGCAGAATTTATCTCAGTTTACTTATTTTAAAAAGAAAAAACTTTGTCATTTTTCCCTTTGTTTGTTCCGGCAAATGTAATAAGGGATCACATGTAGTCTATTGTTTGTTAATGGTTGGCTAGTTTTGGGTATGGTTGCACAAACTAACAACAATACGCAATTGTATACGGTATGCTGTGCAACGATATTTTCATATGTAAATAATATATATTTTTATGAAGTCCATTAAATTTACATCTTTTACCTATTTGATCTTTATATAATCGTTTAGAATGTGCTGATAAAAATGCATCTAACTTAAATCGTTTCTTTTGCGTAAAATTAGCTTAAAATTATTATCATTAGAAAATAACATTTGCAATATTGTACGTAAATTTGGTTTTCTATCTTTTTAGTTTTATTTCATTTTTTTAATATTTATTTAAATGGGTTTGGTTATCGATTGTTACTAGCTTATCTCCACCCACTTCAGCTTCTCTATTTGTTGTCCACATGCGAATCCGTAGCACATGGAGATGCAAAAATGTCAAACATTCGTTTTCACACCACAACAAGGTTTTGTTTGTTTTCTTATTGAACATCGTTTTTGTTTTGTTTTTTAGTCGGAAATTCTTTAAAGTTTTCTTTGTCCGTCTTAAAAATAAAAAAAGATGTAGATTCAAAACAAAATCATTTATTATTCTGTTGGAAAGATATTTTAAAAAGTTTATTTTGAGAAAGGGTTCATTTTTAAATTTCGGGACCAAGGAAAAGAACTGCTTCATCTCACCGTCATCGAAAAAATTCTTTCTTTATTGAAACAAAAAAAACTATTTCTTACCATTATTTCCTGATTGTTTTTATGGTATTTTTTATCTCTTGGTAAAAAAACTTTTTTTTTTTTTTTTTTTTTTGACATGAAGAAAAAGAAACTTTTTGGTTGTCAATTATTTTATATTTGGAGTGTTTTTTTTTTTTTTTTTTTTTTTTACAAAAAACTATAGAAAAAAAATAAAGATCTAATAATTTGGTTAATTTTCAATCAAAATTACCCAAATTATTAGTTAGATCTTTATTTTTTCATCATTATTGCAAAAAATATATAACATTTATTTTGATTTATTAATGAATGTTATTGTTAATAGTTGAAAAACTACCCAATATTAATTCTGACCCTAAGATGTTTTGTTCACGTGATCAAATAAAAAGTAAAAAAAAAAAACAAAAAAAAAAAACCGTTCTTAAGGCAAGAATCATAAAAAAAATGGCTTTCTCTTTTACATTTTTTCCCCCCGTCATTTACGAAGAATTTTTTTTCTTTCTATTTCTTTCTTTTCTCCACACAAAGTTAATGCTGTTAAAAAATGTTTAAAATCTTTTTTTTTTCTTTTTTTTTTTTTTTTTTTGTAAATATCTCAGAGTAGGATTCTTATTCTTAATTTTAAAATTAGTTTGAATCATTTTACGTCTCTGCCAAATAAATAGTTTTTTTTTTAATGATTCTCCTTTTCGATGCATTAACTACACTCAAGTCTTTAAGTTTCATTTGATTTGATCAAATTGGTGAAGTAGTAAAACTACTGTAAAACTAAACGGTAAACGAAACCCATAAAACAATATTTAGCCCTGTGCCAGACTAAGTCAAGTAAATCTTCTTCTCTAAAATGAAAGAATACTCAGACTGGTTTGGAAGGAAACGCTTTTTTTTTTTGTTTGTAAATTTTCTTTAAAAATTATCTGTCTGGTTCTTAGACTAATTATGGCATGTAATTTAATACCGTTCTTTCTTTCTCCCCACAAATGTTTCGAAAAAATATTTCGTCCAAGAGTCAAGAATGAATGCGCATTTCTTGTGCCGTGTTTGGCGTTCCAGTTTCCCTGGCCAGTGATAAGAAGTTCGATTTCTGTTAGTGTTAGAGATTTTTTTTTTATGTCGGAAAACATGTTTGTTTTTATTTTATTTTAACTTCTGACTTTGTGCAGAAAATCCCATCGGTTACAGGAACCGAAAGAGTTACAGAATTATTTGAAAGTCAGTTGAGTAAAAACGGAAAAAAAAATTAAAGTCTAACAACATCTCATCAACATTATCACTTGGGCACCTCGGCGTGGTGCAATGGTTAAGCAAGCAGCAAGCTTGTCTCGCTAAAACAATTACGACTGAATAGTGAGTTCTATCCTCACTGGGTGCCCCATACTTTCGGCCTTGTGCCACATCTAAGCCACTCTTAGAAAATCAGCATCACTAGTCTAAACAACTACTTAACTACATTAATTCCTGTCTTTTAGTTTATTTTCTGAAATCTTTAAGAAGGCAACGACGACAACGGTATTCTCCTGTAACTTTATTTCGCTTTGCAGACAGTAGTCAGATTTCATTTATAAAAAAAAAAAAAATATCCGTGCGTCGCTATTGTCACTGTTTTGGAATTACTCGACGAAATTTTTCATGCTGCTGCGAATTCGCAAACAAAACTGTGTAGAGAGTGTAGATAAATAAAAAGTTAATGAAGGTTGTTAATGTTTAACTAACACTTCTAAAACTGTGAAAAGAGGTATCCGGTAACAAACTTCATTGTTTGGCATATTTTTTCAGCCAGTCTATCGCGATCCGTATTTTCTAAGGAAAACTTTTTACAACGAACGCATTCCCTTTCTTTCACTAAAAGGAGTAAGAAGTGTTAATAAATACCCGCATCCGATAAATTTTACAATGGAAGAAAGAAATGCATCGCTCGAAAAAATAATGATAAAAGAAAGAGAGGGGGGGAAGCAACAGTGTTAGACAATAATCGGTTCAAATAATTGGTTGGAATTCTACACTGATATTTCGCTTGTGCTATTGATCTAAAATTAATAAAATATAATAAATGCGATGAAAATAAAAAAGATAAAAAGGAAAGTAAATTGAGATCACTACTGTAGTGAATTCAAATCTCAATACTGTGTAGCCTTGTAATGTTTTTTTTTAACTGAACTTTAGTATCTTTCATGAATGGGATTCTTTGTGAGTGTTTTTAAAGTAAACAATAGTGCGTCTACAGAGGTAGTTTTAAAATACTTAAAACTCAATGTGCGTGTGTAGGGTACGTTTTACAGTAAAACTTTTACTTCAATAGAAGATAAAGATAGGTGAAGTGCCATTCTCTATGCAGTGGACTTTTCTAGTGGCGTAGAAATCATAACTATTCAATGCTATTTGTTTAGTTTTCAGGACAAAAAGGACACTCCAAAGAGTGAATGGGTTGTGAATCGGATTAGCTAGGTATAAGATAATCTCAACTCATCTACCCTTTTGGGCCTTGTGCCATAATTGTATTTTTATGCAATAAATCTTGGACAAAAACGACACTTGGAGTCAGAAAGAGAAGGTTTGGAATTTCTAGGGATATATAATGAAGAAAAGGTTCATGGAGAATTTGGCATTCATGGGACACTTTAAAGTTAACAGGGCCAGAGGGAAAACAGCGACTAAGTTAACGAGGTTGTGTAAATTTGATGGTAGACCAAGGACTTGGAAGGATAGTAAGGGGACAAATATCACTTATATGAAGGATAGAAAGTTGCTAAGAGCCATGATCTCTCATGTCCTGAAGAGATTATGGCAAATAAAAGAAGAATTGAACACAAACACGAAAATGCACCCTAACAAAGTTTTTGGTATTTTTCTTTCCTTTTCTTTCCATTCCTTTTCGTATGATGCAGTTGCAAAATTATTTTAATACTATCATCTTTTTAATGGTATGCGTAAGGTAGTGAATATGTCGATGTTCACTCGACGTAATGGTTATCTGCGGCATGTGGGTTTGGCATGCTAAGTTCAAATTCCAGCCGAGGTCGCTGCGTTACTTACACTCGAATACACTTTTAAAAGGTATGGATGCATCCTCTCCTCCTGTCTATATGATCCATCTCTACTCCCATCTAGGTGCAAATAGCAAAGCAGACTGGTCTTTGTTTACAACCAGTCTTTGAGATGAACTCTGAATTCCAAACTATTAACTCCATTCCGTAAAAAGTAAAACCCTACTTGCTCCAGAAAACACAGCAGTATGGTGAGGTTGTGGTCCCCATACTCAGTAGGAGAGTCTACATGACTAGTAATTAAAATAAACCTAAAATGGCTATCACGTTTAAGTCTGACACAAGGTTATACTTTGAATGTATGCAAAACTCTTCTGCTTATCACTTAAATATCCTGAGTCGTCATATCTTTGCTTGTTTTAACCTTTGCTTGGGAAAAACAATGGTTTTAGCTTCCTGGCATAAAATATTTACACTTTGCACTCTGACCTTTTTTGGCCAAAAATTTCGTTCAGTTTATGAAGTAAATTTAATAATAAGCGAACAAACTTTTTGACCGACCCAATATTTGAATGAGTGTCTCGTCCCGTTTGTAGCCTGGGTATTGGAAGCTTACCTTTCAAAGAGTACCTTTCTATTACAATCATATTAAGCTCCGTTTTGCAAAAGAAAGGATAGATGGATAAGAATAAAACCATTTAAATTTCTGACTGGTGCCATTTTGTTTCTAATGTCATTTACAAGAATCTACGAATTCTTCACCAAATCGTCAGCCATTTGGACATTATTACAATTATTACTATTTGGAAACAAAGAAACTACATTCAGCTATTTCTCACTATAAGGTTTACTTCTACGAATGTATGTCACCTCTAAGTGAACTCGAAATCTATTTGTAAATAGTAGATATTCATCCAACTGTAACAAAAAGCCATATTTGTAAAGAACTTAAGAATGGAAACATTTAAAAAAAAACAACTTTTATCCATATTTCTCTCTCTCTCTCTCTCTCCAACACTTCTCATGATACTTAAAAGGGGGCAAAACACAAATTTACTCTTGTTTCCGAGGTGCCTCTGTTTTTTTTTTTTTAAGAACTTATGTTTAAAAAAACCCTTCTACGCTGCTTTCTGCAGCAAATACTATCAACGTATTAAGATTTATACGTTGACCACTTCCTTATAGCAGGTAATGTTTCTAAAATAAATAATAAACAGCACGCACCTTGTAGATATGGCAGACATTTCCAAGATAATTATTTACATCCCCACGGAGTCAACATTTTACGTCTGTTAGTTACCCACTGAAAAGCTATCCATATATCGGATAACTGCAGATTACTTTTCTAAAGAAATCTTTTCAAAACCAATTAAACAATCTTGATCCATTTGCAGAAATATCATTTTGGTGTCTGTCATAGAGCGATCATTTGCGCGCTAATTTTACAAACTATGACTAACATACTTCGATCCTTATTGGGTACACCAGTATTGTAGTCCTGCTCCAAATTAAACTAATTTGTTTAAGTATTCTCTATTGTAATGATTAAACGCCTATTCTAAAACGATAGTCTCGAAGACTTTTTGCTAGAATAGTGAATCATCTTTGCTCTTGGTGCCCTAATATATTGGTCTAACCTCAATATCTATGATACAAAATAAAGTAAAAAAGAAAAACGAAATGTTTTGAATTGATAAAAGTAATTCTAAGTCTAAAAGCAAAATACAAAAATCTTCACAAAACGTTTACATCATAAATTTATATCAAATTTATTTGGCAATTAACCAACTTAGATTGAAAACTTGTTTCTTTCAAAAACAAAGAATATTGCTTTTTGATGATCGTCTAATCATTTATTTCCAATTTTCTTCGTTCGAAATTCGTTACTTTGATTATATAATCTTGTTGCAATAATTCATTGTCCATATTGTAATACTTGATATTAATTAGACAACGTTAAATGTTGGCGCAAAGCCATTTTTCTCAAGTACCTGTAGAATAGAGGTCAAACCCATTCTTAAGAGACTGCGTTTATATGCAACAGATGTGGCTGATTTTCAATGTGTGTGACTATGGCTTCCATACCCCCACCCCTTTTTTTCCAAACTCCGGAGACAACTGAAACCACGCACGAGCGCGTGTGTGTGTTTATTTTTTGTTGTTGTTTACCTTTGTCAAGGTTAACTATGGGAGTGACAGTTTTTCTCCTGTGCAGGTAAGGTCTCCCATAATTACCTTACCTGCACAGTAAAAAAAAAAAAAACAAAAAAAAACCTACACACCCATAGTGGTTTGCTTAAGTGTTCACTTCCTCAGTTACCGAGTTATGCCAGGAAGGAAAAAAGTTCAAGATATCTAGTAACGATACAGACTGCAGAGGAAAATAGATTTATGCCTTTTCGAAGCGTATAACTGAGATGTAAATATTGGCACTCTAAATCCGAACACCCTTGACCTATTCAATTTTTCATACTGATAATCGTTACATCATATTTTGTACCTATAAATAGCTTACAGTTGGAAAAACATTTGTTTAACCATTCACATAATGTTTCGGTTTATTAGTTTAATAGAGATTAATATATTTAAACATTTTGCCGATATTCAATTACTGGCTTACTTGCACCGCAATTATTTAATTGTGATGCAAATTGTCTATTTGTGAGGGTTAATTGCGGATGTACAGCAAAGAAAGATTCTAAAAAAAAAAACTCTGTTGAATTACAGTAATAGTTTAAGTTGCATAAAAATATCTTTGGTGCAAATGTCTAAAAATTCACAGAATTCTTTTCATCGTTACTTCTGTATGACTTACTAAATCCATGTGTAGGCGTGGACCAGTTTAACCAGTGTATATATATATATATATATATATATATATATATATATCCGCGGCACTCTAGAGAGGCCTGAGTTTTTTACTGATAAGTAAACACAGGACTAACTTTGTCTTCGTGGCCTAAATCGTTGACAGTGCTATTAAGATGAACTGGGACATCTGCCTAAAATCATTATTGTCATTAATTTTCAAAATAATTATTAAACAAATTTCTTTTTCTTTCCGAAACATTAGCTTTTAAAATTTTTATATAAATTTTATATGCAGAAAAAGTTTAAAGGTTTGATTCAAGAAAATAAATACAAGCGAACAGCAAAAAAAGGTGTATTTAAAATCAAAACGAAAAAATGAGAGAGACATGAGAAGGAGCTGAAAAGTTCTCGACCCAATCACGAATAATAACCTAGAACCATAAATCGTGCATATTCACCTTGCACGCACACGTGGTACACTGTTTCAAAAAGTAAATTCTGATTCAAGGACAGTGAACTATTTTTTAAAGTGAATCGGGTCGTGAATTTTTCGCTAACATCAGAGACAAATAAATAGATAAACATGATTCCCATAGGCCGAAATCAGTATTTCTCTCATATTTATTGAGGGGACCAGATATGTCTATGTTAGATGATCACCACAAACATTTAAGATGAAGTGACACAGGCCAAGGCAAGGATAACTAGAACGAGCTAAAATACAATGAAAGGAACAAAAGATGCAGATGTTTTAAATACCTTGGGTGATCGTGCTGGGATTTAACTTTTGGTCTTAGATTGCGCCAACAGTTGATGACGACCGAAGCAGTTTGGGTAGTGTCGAAGGTCGATAGGCAGTCAGTATGTTGAGTTTATATTCATCATCATCATCATCTTGCGGCCTCAGCCGAGATTGAACTCACTAATACTTTGATTGGTGTAGTTCATAATCTTGTCAAATAGCTGAATTCTTGATGCTTCGCTAGGGCTATCAAGGGTGTTTTTTATCGTGACACCATCACTAAATGGATTGCCAACCAAGGCTCACAGAGACTCCATTCACCCTCATCTAAGAGCAGGTTTTGAATTCAGTTTTCCTTCTCCTAGACCAGTTGCCATCCAAGGCTATAGAAGTCTGTCCTGCTATTTACCCATAGCTGGAGGGAGAAGAAAGAGGATTCACACCTTTCCCAAGGGTATTAGCACGTAAGTGAATGTAATGGATTCGACTGGAATTCGAACTCGGCTCTCCGATTCCTCAATCCAAGCCAATCCATTACTCCACCGTGCCTCCTCCCGTTTATATTAGCTGGCAGGCTTATACCAAGATAGGCGACTGTGATCCACGAGATGATGGTAAGTAGGGCAGTGAAGCCTGAATCATCGAGTGGATTTGTAGAAGATGTTGTGTCCCCAAAGAGGACACTTGAACATTGCATATAATGTAGCGAGAATAGCGAGTTTTCCCTGAAAAGGACAGTTTATAGCTGCATATCATGTAGCTGAGAAATGACTGAGATTGTCCTGAAAAGGACAGGATCAGCATATCGTGCAACGAGGAATGACTTAAGCTGGTCCTGAAAAGGACAGGTATCATGCAATCGGGAATAAAGACTTGGATTTGTCCTGAAAAGAAGAGTCAGTATATCGGGCAGCTGAGAAAAGACTTAAATGAAAGGCGAAGATGTGGTAGGTGGAATTCACTTGGTCTGTTAGCCGGGGGCGGGGGGTACTGGCTTGTTAGCTAGTACTGCTGCTGCTGGAACGGATACTACACAGTCATCTTCTTCCCAAGGCCGAGTAGTGTGTTCGATATTTACTAATGACTCCCCACTGAGTCAGAATGCGACACAAGGTCAGTTATTTAATATGGGGAACCCAAGCGGGAACACTCGGGCTATTGGTCCAAATTTACCACGTCCCCGCTTACGGGGGATCGGGTACAAAGCTTGTCTTAGCTGGTCAAAGCCACGAAGAAGATACTACAACTTGATCCTGGACCGCGAGGCTTCAATTCAGCGCTTTGATTTTATGGCGTAAGGGCATTACAACCTCGCAGGGCTTGAAGCTATTTTCCGTTATGAATGAAAGTCATTAAAATAACACTGGGTTATGAAATATAATCAAACAAGACATAACAAAACTACAATCAGGAAAAGTATTTGTTTTGGATAATCATCGTAAAATATTTTCAAATAGATGCACAGAATTAATAAACAAAGTGAAAGTCCGTTCGCTGAAACAGAATAATAACAAGGTAGCATGTCACTACGATACACATTCCAACTGACCCCTAAAGTTGTACATCAGTGTGCACTAAATCTAATTTCGATATGTAACGTATAATCTCTCACTAATAAGATGGAATTTTTTATACTTTTTTATCATTTCACTCCAAGCAAGGCGATAAAGTCACTAAGACGCAAGGGGTAATGAGAGTGTAAGAAACTGAGAAAATACCGTAGATAGAGAACAAGACGAGATTAAAATACTAGACGTTGCATTTACATTTTTGAAGATCATAGTTGACATGAAAGCTAGAAACCAGAAGAGTACTACAAGCGGGAGTTGCGAGAGAGAAAACCATTAGCATTGAACTTACTCTTACAGTTGAGGTACTGAAGAGAAAAACTCATTAGAAAAATTACCATGTCAATACTTATAGAAAAGACACAGTGAATCTTGTTATGGCAGTGGGGAAATGACTGAAATCGAGATGCCAGGTCAAGACCGAGCATATTGTCGATTCTTTGGATTGTCAAGCATCTTTAAATATATAGCTGAAGTATCAGATCAGATATGACAGCAGACGAATGGTATAATTATAAAAGTAAAAAATAAATTCTGGCAAGAAAAATTGTTTGTCTAGTACGACACAATGAACCAA